AACAACTTCCGGCGGAACACGTGGCCCAAAACGTAAAACGTTGGATCGGGAAGACAAACGATAAATATTTATTCAAATATTCCAATACTTTTAGTTCCTTCCTGTTGATTTAACGGTTTTTAACTATAAACGAAAATTAAAAAAAAAAAACTATTTCTTAGTTTAATACTAACAAAAAATGATATTACTAGCTTTTAAACATAAAGAATAATTATTAGAATTACTTATGGACGAAAACCAACCAAAAAAACTTAACCAATCTGATCTCGCCACGTGGACCTCATTTGGCTCAAACTAGTATAAAATGCCCAAGGTTAAATAATAATTTGATAGATACGTTATAACTACGATAAAGCTACAAGAATATAGTTGAAGTTTTAAAAGTGAAGGATAAATAAAATACAAATTTACCTTAGATGGGTTAGAGAGGAAGCACAGCGTCTTACCACTCTGATGGTGGAATTAGAAATGGAAAGAAGAAGAGGGGTCTTGCTGGTACTCAGCCTTTCCAGTAAAGAGGGGAGAGACCGGATACCATAGCTTACTTTATATTAAAGGTACATTTTTTCAACTCTTTTATAATATAATCTATTTATTTATTGTTTTTTCTAAATTACTTTAACGATTAATTAATATTTTTGTATGCGACTATTTTACTGTAGAACGTATAAGAAATCATTTTCTTCCAGGTCATGAACGATTCCGTGCACAGCCAAAGTGAAATATTAATTTTTATATCGAAATCTTTTTACATTAAGGAAAAATGAAAAGGAATAAACAATCTTCACGTTCTTTTTTTTATATCCAATTTTTTTAAAAATCGGATGACACATCTAGACAAAGCAAACGTTATGTAGAAAGCTATGCTTCCCGCCAAATTTCGGTTTTAAAAAGCCCAACGTTTTCCAATGTTTAATTATCAACATTAATGGACAGTTTAATTTGAAAGATTGATGTATAGACAGTATAGACAGATAAATAGAACGTTTGATTAGTAGAAAGAGAAATGTAAAGATAGATTGATAAACGGATAAAAAGAAAGGATGATTGATCGACAGAAAAACAGAATGATAGACAGATAAATAGAAAAATTGATTGATGGATAGATGAATGTAAAGATAAATTGATAGACAGATATATAGAAAGATTGATTTATAGAAAGATATCTATAAGGTAGATTGATAAATAGAAAGATTTATTCATAATAGAAAAATAATAAAATTGATTGATAGACAGATAAATGGATTAATATACAGAAATATAAAGATGGATTGAGAGATAGATAAATAGAAATATTTATTGACAGGCAGATAAATAGTAAAATTTATTGATAGATAAATATAAAGATAAATTGATAGACAGATATACAGAAAGATTGATTTATAGAGAGATAAATATAAGGATAGATTGATAAATAGAAAGATTTATTTATAACAGAAAAATAATAAAATTGATTGATAGACAGATAAATACAAAGATGGATTAATATACAGAAATATATAGATAGATTGAGAAATAAATAAATATAAATATTTATTGTCAGACAGATAAATAATAAAATTGATTGATAGACAGATAAATAGAAATATCGAATAATAGACAGATAAATAGAAAGGTTGATTGAGAGCCAGATGAATTGGAAGATTGATTGATAAACAGATAAATATAAAGATGGATTGATAGACAGGTAGATTAATTTTTTTTTTAAATCTTTCTATAATTTAACTCTCTGTTACATTTCCAACAATACTTCTATTCATGTTTTTTAACATTCCTATTTTAAAATAAATTTTCTTTCCTTTCTCAGTGTATTGCTATATTTATTTTTTTCCTTTTGTCTTACTCTTTACTTATGTCAACTGTGGCTGACGTTACTTATCCAGGCCTAGTGAGCGCCATTTTATTTCGGCTGTATTAAAATTGTATTATTTCATAAAACCCTGTTAGTAATACAATACTCTAAATAAGAAAAATAAAGCTATACATTCCTCTAAATTTTGGTTTATAAGCCCAAAACTATTATACATTTTTCAATATTTAATTATGATTTATATTAAGCAATATATGTAAAATATCCCTCAGACATTCAGAAACCATTTTCATAACAATAATTTAATAGATTAATTAAAACTTTTATAGCTATAGAATAACATTGATAATTGTGATTAATTCACTCAAAACTCGACAATAAAAGATTTTATTATCTTCTACTAGGTCAATATTTTATTTCTTCTTTTTTTCCTTAATAACCATATAAATTTATACGTGATTACTGATTTATATAAGCTCAAATTTGCACATGCATGTACATACAAACGCAATTGTACACAGTTGAGCCTGTAGGCAATTCGTTTTTCTAATTTGTAAACAATGAAACAATGAGTTACCGGCCTTGAGAATCACCCTTGTTCTTATCTATCTGCTAAGTTTGAGCTCCTGGGGCTATCAACAGCTAGTTCATTTCAGACCCCAATGCCTAATTTAGTCCCTAAATCCAAACCCACTACAGTTAACCACACTTAAATACATTCTTTCCTATTTGCATACCATTCACTCAGAGTATTCGAGTACTAGATATTCCTCCATCACCCTTTACATCTACTATATAACTACCCTAATTGAGGATAAAGTATTCATTATTCCACCATCAGCCCTCTTACACTGCACATTCATGCCAATAAATACATTCACTGTCAGCATGTTAAGGCACAAAACTATCAGTACCATAATAATAAAACAATCGTGTTTCCTATAAGAATCATTACAAGGGACCCAAATACTTGCTGCCCTGCTTAAGCACAATTCTGGTGACATTCCTGCATGCTCTATATATAGAGCCAAGGAATTGCACCTTCAATTAGGTGGGACACATCGAGTAACGTTTTTCTGTATGCTGGACACATACGTGGGCTTTGGCCTAAAAGGAAGTAGAACCTGGCCTATTATTAATCGGGTGAGGACTTCTTCTATGAGTCAGGCTCTCCGAGGGCCACCTATCAACAGTGCTTCTAAGAGCTCCTCTCCCATCCGGGCCCACTGGTCATTTTTTTAATCGTGCTTTTTATTGCATTTTTGGTGTCAGAGGGCCTGTTCACGGTGGTTAAGTCCAGAGGTTGGAATGTCCCAGCCTTAGCCGCCTTGTCTTCCTTTTCATTACCCTCCAGGTAACCAAACAACCACAGTTTCACTAAGATGTTTTAGTTTTTAGTATCTACCTGCATATATTAGTAATTCTTAATTCATTTATGAATAATATAGATACATAGACATGAAAAATCTGTCCAGGTCAATATCGGTGGCCACTGACACGCCATCCCTAAATTCTCCTATTACACAATAACTATTGTATTTTTAATTATTGTATGAAAGAAACCATTAAAAAAATAAAGTTAAAAAGTGATTAAAGCTACAATAAACTGTTGCTTGCTCCAGCTATTTGAACTTATCTTCTTATCTGAAAAATGCATTAAACAAATAAACAATTTGAGAACAAACATCATGAAATTTTTTATCTTTGTAATTTCGACATATCTATTTTTTCCCCCAATTTTTTGTAATTTGTTTGTTCCAATCTAGAAATCGTTCTTTAGCCTTATCAAATGTATAAACTATCACGATTTAATGTTTTTACTTGTTATAAACAAAACATTAAAACTGTTTATAGTGCGATAAAAAATGTACTGAACACATTTCTGTGCGATAGGTATGCACACATTCCACCTAGGGAAAGCTGAGTCGATTTCACAAGTTGAGCTTTGAATAGGAATTTGTCCAACTTTAAGTCTATTCTCATTTATCTGTACACACTTTTAGAAAAAGATAATAATATAAAAAATAAATAATACAAATATATAAAATGAATGTATTTTAAAGTTAAAATCTTAATATGGCTGTAAAGTAAATATTAAGTTATTGATCTTCTCTCCCACCTGGTGCCAAGAATCTTCATTAGAATTATTCAATTAAACCCATACGTAATTTCACCTTTCTGCCAAATTTAGAAACCTATGTTCGGTGAAAACAGACCTTTTCAATTTGTAATATATGCAAGATAGCCACTTGACCAACAATAAGATGTCCTAAAGAGATATCCAGTCGAAAAGAAGGTCAATACTGAAATAGAAAGTGTCTATGTAAATTATTGAAATATGTAGCAACTGACCATTTTTCGTCAGTCAATAAGGTTTTTTTTACAATAATTTAAAAATGCAAATCCACACATGAGACTATTGCTGTAATATATGCAAATTCCTTTGAATTAGGATAAATATTCTTAAAGATATACAATTATCCTTACCATCTATTGACCTTTTATATTTTTATAGGCCAGACCAAATGAAGGCCTTAAGAAATTAAACCCTGTCAAAAATAGTATTTTTAGCGTGCAAAGAAGCCGTTTGGTCTCCGGTGTGAGGTCTCCCTTAGGCATGGCGGAAAAAAGTACTATTGCTACAATATATATGTGACGAATTTGCATCTATATCTAAATTTTTGAAAAATTACTCAGGCTTAGGTTGTTTTAAAATAAGCTTAATTGATTTTAAACAATTAATTTATTATAACTCCTTCAATAAACAACAATTAGTGATGCATTATGTTATAGAAATTATTTATTTCATGTAAAAGTAATGATTTCCAGTAATCTGGGGATAACGCTTGAAGAAAATAATTGAGATCTGCCATTAAAAAAAGAAAATAAAAACAATAAATAACCTTAATAATAAATACAACAAAATATATTAAATTCGTTTAATAGAATAGTTTAAAAATATATTTTTAAAATTATAAGCATTACTTAAGCAACAAGACAAATATATGAGACTTTCATTTCACAGTTTGTTGGTTCTGTATACAGATGTTTGTCTTATTCTGGAAATAAACCATATAAAATAAAAACAGATCTATAGCAACAAACAGGAATAAAAAAAGAATATATTTGTTAAAAATAGATATACAAAAGAATAAGAAAGTAAAGGGGTAATTTGAACAAAAGTAAAATTATGTTTTATTGTCTTTTATTACCAAAATTGGTATCGTATATTTTTAAAAATTCTCAATGTGGAATACACTTTATATCTTGTGGTTGTAACAGAATTATTTTATTACATTGTATTTTATATGTTAAATAAATTATAAATCTGTGTAGAACACTAATGTTGATCAAACCGATGAATGGTGACATGGTCTTTATATTGGTCTATTCTGTGGATGTTGTCCCACCAGGTCTTGAGGCCGTTGTTCGACACGAGTTTGAACCAAGGAGTAACCGGGTCTTTCAATTTGTCCATGTAATCACTGAAATCGTCCCTCGGTACATAAAACACTTTGCTCACTTCGTCCGGGTTGGGTTTAACGGGCAAGTCTTTTTTGATCAGAAGTATGTAGTCGATTTCGTGCTCGCCCCAGTTGCCGTCGCCGATCGACTTGTACAGTATCCTCGTGATGTAATGCAGGTCTTCCGGGGCGACGAGATTTTGCGATATGCCCAGTTCGAACTCCAGGCGTCTGATCGCTGCCAGCTTGACGCCGAGCGCACCCGGCTCGATTCGCTCGTCGTTGATATCGTACAGAGGATGAGAACAGCACGTATTGGTTATGTGATCGGGGAACGTCACCTTCGTACTCGACCTCTTCTGCAGCAAAAGCTCGTTTTTCGAGTTAAAGAGGAAAACACTAAAAGCTCTGTGTAAAAGGAGGCTACCTACCATGTGACAATCCCTTTTACTAGCCTGTCCGACCGCTTTATCCTTTTCATTGACAAGAATGCACTTTTCGTTTAACGACGCCTCCTGGACGTGGTTGATAGCCTGGACGACGGTCGAGAACAGTCTCACCCTCGGGACGAGTAACTTCAGCATTTTCTCCTATTTTTACACTATTGTCAAATACAAAAACTGACCTTTTTAATAGGCTGTTCAGGCGAGAAGGCTAGTCGAATCCGTTCAAATAAAGGATATTTCAAGCTGATTTATTTTCGGTTATTCAGTGAAACGTGCACGTAACTAATCCAATCAGCCACTTGGCGTTAATTTGCTTAACGAATGAACAAACGGCAAGTCAGCCTTGTGAATCGGCTTAAACAAACTGAGAGTCGGGAACGGTAGACAATCTAGCAGAAGCGGTACCACGTTTGTCACTTTTAACACTTTCTTCCCCTTCCCTTGTTTTCTGCTGGAGACCGGGGCATCTCCGACTCACCGGTGTTGGTTTCGTCAAAAGCCACCGACTAGTGACAATTGACAGTCGACAACGTCAAACCGAGGAGCGATCGGACTTTTAAAAAGAATTTTCCCTCGGACCAATTTGGCGAAACCTCAATTTTAAACTAGCGAAACGGCAATGGCAAGAAACACGTATGAATTATCTTGCGCCTTAATAGCTTAATCCTCAAATAAGCATGAAAAGTTAATTTTTCATAATCTTGGTCCGTCTGTTCTCGCTGGTTTAAGGCCGCAAGCGTTCGTCGTTAAGTTATATTTCAACACTTCCTTATACTTGATTTTCACGAAACTTTGACACTTTTGTGCTTTAACATTTAACTTTAAAACAGTATGTCATGTAAATGTATGGCATATCAAACTTCTGTAAAAGTGGATCCATCAGACGGATTAAAAATAATTCCTCTGTTCAATGAGAATGTAGCCCAGGAAAGAGGTATGCGAAAGTTCATCAAAGGATCATTGCAGAACTGCTAAATCTAGAACATATTAGGATTAGGATAATTTAAGACTGCTAACTGTTCAACAACTTAAGGCATATGTAAAGACTCGGAAAGGTAGAAACAAGCCTGTGCAAATATTGCCGGGAAGAAGAAGATATATGTATTCCGTTGGGGTTCATCAGAAGGACCTGGCACACGTTTAAATTCTCAAGACAGTAGTGACACACTTACGCTCACAAGTGGTCAGTGTTCATACTGTGAGGTTTGGTGTAGAAGCCACTGCATCACATAGACTAGTGACTCCTTCCCGTGCCTCGTCCCAAAAGGGTGGGTGCCATCTATGCACCTGACCGTGTGCTGCATAGCTATTGGAAAAGCTTTCACTTGGTGCTGAAATGCATCAGCTGATTAACCATGCTACACTATCTAGATAGAGAAAACAACTCTATCTCCATGAATGTAGAGGCCCTACCAGCATCGGAACTACCGGATCTGCTTCGGCTGTGGTTTTGTTTATGAGGAATTTCTAATCACCCCCTACAGGAATGCCGCCTTTGGTAAAGCCTACGAACCGAACAAAGCTCTTCTTTAAGTACCCACTAGAGGCCTCACCTTCTACCAACTACAATTCCATTCTCACATAGCGCGCTACCGGGCTTGGAACTTGGAACACTCTTGCGCTATCCCGTAATTCAGTTGGTTATGGACCCTCCTCCATCTTTGCAGACAGGATCTGGTACCCTAACCCCTCTGTGCCACTGATCCAGCGGGCGCTGTGCACAGCTGACTCAAAAGCCAACAACTCTCTTTATGCACTTTGAGGGACTCAAGGCGTATTCTTTGTATCCTCGCATGCTATCTTCCATATTCATGAGGAGGGTGCTTATAGAGATCGAGCGTGCAGGGAAACAAGAATACAGCTTGTGCTTTAGAGAGTGTGTCACCCATTATTTTGCACCTGGAAACCCCTCTTGCATCCAAGGGCTGAGAAGGGACCGCAGGAATTTCCTACAATCCCGAGGAAAAGGATTGAAAAAAGGACATGCCTGAGAACCTGAGACTCACTTTTTCAGGTTGCACCCCTCGCAATGTGGGATCAATGTACCATTCTTTGGTCCCATGATCCTCATTTATTGAGGTATGATCCCTCTGGGTAGAAAAAGAGTTGAGAATGCTGAACAAGTCGAATGCCCTCTCGACCATCCCAGCTCAAAGGAAAAAGGAGAAGAGAAGAGAGGAAGAAAAGAAAAAGAAACAGAGGAATATGTCTTCTGTTTGTGTGAAGGTTTATGTAGGGAGAGGAAATGGTGCTAATGCAATGGAAGAATTGTTTAGCCAACCCGCCGCAGAGTAAACTAGCATTGCGATGTTTTCAATGACCAATATGGACCTCATGATATTTCTGATGCCTTTGCACCTGAAGGATAGACATGGGAGTTTTTGGAAAAAAAATCCTTAAGCTTAATGAGGAGAAACATAATTTGATTGTATAATTAAAAATTATCTTTAATGAGAAAATGTCTAGAAATACCTCACAAAAATATACATACACAAACTAGTTGATTTTTATTAAATGTTGTCTTGTAACTTGCATTACTCATGGTAAACAAATTTTGTTTAAAAAGGTTTACCTCATAAAATTAAAAGATGTATATTATATTACAATTAATTAAGGTTTTTAGTTGAGATAAAAAAGTCAATGGCATGAGTGGGATTTGAACCCACGATCTTCGGCTTGATACGAGGTCACGATAGTTCAAGTGGTAGAGCAGTGACGTATCAATCCGAAGATCGTGAGTTCAAATCCCTCTCGTGCCATTGACTTTTTTATCTCAACTGAAAACCTTAATTAATTGTAATATATTAATTGGTCAAGCGGACCACGAAACTAGTGAATTGAAGATGTATATTATGTTGAAACTAAAAGGAGATAAAAATAAAAATTATATTTGTTTAAATTTTTACAATGTTTGTATGTTTTTTAAATTTTAATTTTAAACATTTTTTATGTGCTTTCTTCATCTGTTTTCATTGGCATGCCATCTTCTCGCAGTATTTCCAGCTCTTCGGGTGTAATATGAAGCCTAAGCTCTTTTTCTACGAGCAAATCTTGTATTTCTGGTAAATCCTGCGGTAATATTTTACCCGCTTCATAATAAAGAATCTGTAACGAATCAAAAGATAATCGTGAGAAACGGGAGACAAATTGATTTATTTGAACCTTTTACCTTGACCCAAGGGCATTTCTCTAAGGCATGGTAATAAACTTTTTTCAATTCTGGTGGAGGTAGCGGTGAAGAACACTGCAATACAAGCCTCCATAAAATGGGACATCTTTCAAAATTTTTTAATTCGACAATTTTTGTCAACTGTGATTTCATTTGGTTGTACATGGCTTGTTTAGAAACTAAAAACGTAACATGAAGTATTTTTAACATTTAATAATAATCTTATAGATGTTTTTCAAAGGAAGCAAAGCACGATAGCTTATATTTTTTTAAAAAACTTACTTGTGTTTGTATCATCTGTCTGATGATGTGAGTGTAAAATTAAAAATGAATAGATGGCTGAAAGACAGGACCCTGTAGATACAAGCATTTTTCTCCATTTCATACCTTTCACCTAAAACAAATTTTTTTATACACTAAAAACATAACTAACTTTTTAAAACAAAAGTCAACAGTAGAAATTTTTATTATACCTTTATCGAAGCTAGAATATGTAGAAACTTTGCATTGTTTGGAAACTTCTCAATCGCTTTTGATAAAATATCACATAATAATGAATATTCAGTAACATTTTTAGAGTAGGAATGGTGAAGGATGTCTATATAAATTTCATAAACCCCTTCAATGATATACCTCAACCTTAAACAATCAATATGTACTTATATTTTATAATTTCAAATATTTAAAAAAAAAAATAAATAAATAAAAAAACCTGGGAGAATCAACACCCGCTTCAAGGCTCTCTAACGCTTTATTAAAAATTATTTTCACATTGGAAGACCCTGTAGCAATGTACGAGAGCCATGCTTGACAAGAAATCCAAGAAACAAGGTAAGGTTCACACACAAGATCATTTAAAGTCAACTCTGTTTCTGTTTCATTGATTGCCTCCATGATCAGCTCAGTTGTGACATGAGAAAACCTTTCCAAAGCTTTTGAAATAAGTTGTTCAGAAACAGTTGTAATATTTTTTAACTTTTCCCCGAAGGAGAGTGCCACTAGGGATTTAAATACCTTTTCTCTAGGAAGAATAAAATAAATTAATATAAGTAATGTTAAAAATGAAAATTAAAGAATGAATATCGATGTATGTACTTATTTAATTCAAAATCTTTTCTAAGCATCATTTCAATATAAATTCTGTAAATAGCACAAAGATGCGATTTATCAACTGAACCGACATTCTGGGGCGAGTCCTTGAGTTCAATAGCTGTTTCAAGAATCTAAAACATTGTTTTCATTGGCTAAATTTGTAAATTTTTAGTTTTCGAATTAAAAATTACCCTTTGTGCTGAATTGAAATTGTCCAATTCTTCAAGGAGGGCGTACTCCGCATACAGTGGTAAAAAGTCTCTGTACTGCTTCAGAAATTGTTTCGCTCTTGATTTATAAGATTTCCCACTTATTTTTTTCAATTTTACGAGCAACCGCCACCATCTGTTTCACCGATTATAATACATTAGCTGAAATATCTGGATTCGCAGCTTTTGTAAACATTTAAAAAAAAATTGTGTTCAAAATTGACAAACCTTATCTGAATGACAAGAATGGGCATCAAATCGTCATTGCAAAATTTTAAAATGTTAAGAAACATTTTATCGATTGCTTCTAAAAACTGTTCATTTCCAGTTTTATCAGCTAAATATTGCGGATTCACTAATAAATCTTTTAACGTATTCAAATGAAATCCTTCTTCTCCATCTTAAAGATTAAAAAACACCAATGAAAAAAATGCTATTAAAAATGAAATAAATAAAAATAAAATATACTTTGTACTATCCCATACGGAGAACTAACAACTGAAAATAACAGTTCAGGACTTTCTAAACACCAGGTGATTTTTTTTAATCCTATAAATTCATAAAATGAATCAGTGCAAGGAAGAAGTGGTACCTAAAACACAAAATATAATAAATTTCCATATATTATTTAAGCAAATGAAAATCTACCTTTAGAAGTAATAACACAATCATAGCTAATTTAGGCCTAGATTCAATGCTCAAAGGGTAAAGAAGATGTGAGAGATCTTCCTGTAAAACAGTCCTCTGTGGATCTTCACTTAAATTATCTTTATCCGTCACGGGTAAAAAATAAACACCACTTCTCATATGTTCAACTCTTAGCCAGAGTTCTGTCAGAGTCAATCCTGATGTTATTACTTTGTCCTCAATTTCCCCTTTGAGCAAAAAACAAAATGAAATTCAAGAATTTATGTTGTTATGCAGCTTAGTAAAATATTTAAACAATAATAATAATAGTAATAATATAAATTACTTATTTCTATGTCTGGTATTTCAACATCCAACTTGAACGCCCCAGAACCAGCAACCGTAAAATTCATCTCCAAGTAAATCTGAACGAGAGTCCAAAGTTGTTCCCACAATCCGGCTTGGCGTAAAAAAATGCCACACTCGAAAAGGATCTCTTTAAATCAAACACTTTATTTATTTATATATTTTTTAAAATAAAAAACAAAAACTTACAAACCTGATTATTTAATACAAACCTAAAATGAATTCTGATGGCTGGTTGTGCACCCTTTGTAATACCGCTGCATAAGTGTCCAGCACACTTGGGGCAGTCATTTTTGAAAGGTTGAAAAGCACAGAAGAGACCAACCATTTCCAGCCGATTCGCGATGAAGGATATTTACTAATTATCTGCTTAGCTTCGGTGTTCAACTAATGCACAACATATCAAAAACAAATTGTGTTCATTTTGTGTTTTGTAAACATTGTAAAATCAATTAAAAAATGATTAAAAAAATTCGGAGTCATAAATTCTTAGCTCATTTTCATGATCACATTCTATCATACAATTTGTATTTTTGATATTTAAAAAATTCAATTTATTTCTATTAACTTATCTGACATTTATTGAATAATTAATCGAAAAATAATAAATTAATTTTTTTCAAAAGCAATAATATTTTATTAGGTGATTCCTCATTTTCTCTTCCTAAGTTTTTTCATAGCTAGATTGTAAATGAAACTGTCATCATTTGTTTTAAAATGTTTAAATATTTATGAATGTGTAGTGTGAGCATCGACCCTAATTGAGTGAATGGTAGAAAATAGGAAAGAATGTGGATAAGAATAAGTGTGTCTAGATTTAAAACTGGAGGCATTGGTTGCTGAAATGATCTAACTGTTGACGGCCCCTGGAGTCTATTTAATTTTAGTGGCAGGTCAGATAACTTGACCTCGGATGCCAAAACTTGAAGTGTTTGATGGTGGCAAGCTTTGGGAAGTCGTAAGCTCAATTCAGTACATATTCATATGAACTGCACATAACTGTGTAGAATTGAGATTATATTATAAATCAGTAAAAATGCATCATTCAATAAATTATTGTTGATTATAATTAATCCATTTATGTTTTTGTGATCAATTGACCAAGTTACTTCTTTCAATCAATTATTCTTTCTGTGTAAGGTTTCGTTGAGATAAAAAGGAGAATTGTGTCTGAGAGGATCAAAGTCACGATAGCTCAAGTGGTGAGCAGCGGTGTATTGAGGTGAAGGTCAAGGGTTCGAATCCCGCTCATGACACTGACCTTTTTATCTCAAGCAAGACCTTACATAGGAAGAATAATTAATTGGTTGATTATAATATTTTTAATTTTCAATCATTCACATTAATCTTCCTAATTTTTCAGGTACACTGTGAACCGAACTCACAACTGAAGTTATGGTTATGCATCAAGAGGTTGAAACACTTATTCATGATTTCTATATAAAATTTATATAAATTAGGGGACTGTAATAACTGAGATTGTTGGGTACAGTGTTGGCTGAGTGGTTTTGGTGTCAAACTTGTATTTGCCATGCTAGTATTTCTGGGTTTGATACTGGTAGAGTCCTAGGCATTTTTGGTTTTTAGTAGGAAAAATGTATTTTAAAGAGGTTTGACTCCCTGTGACACCCAATGGTTAGTCGGACGTTAAGCCCTTCTGTGTAACAGGAATTACTTTAATTAAGAAACCTTGTATTTGTCATGCATCCAGGGTACAATTTTCAGTGCTCCTTTTAGTTTTATTATTTCATAAAATTTTGATAAAGTATTTTAAAGTAGTCTGACATAAACCTCATGGTAATTACTTTAGTTTAATACGTAAAAGCAAACTTTTATATAATTTTTCACTATATTTAGTTTTTTTGTGAGTATATTTAATATTTGACCATATATTACCTTTATTTATCATGAGTTCTTTCTGTTTAATATAAAAAAATTCTTTTTTTTTCTTTTTCTGATGGCTATCAACTCTCATGGTTATTTAAGCTCTTTTAAAATGTAAAATCTCCACGATTAACTGAAACTACTGAGTTAAAGTGATCTCAGTCTTCAATATATCAGTTTTTGAAGAAAATCAAGCCTCATGATTACGATTATGGGAATGGACGTTTTACCATTTTTTTTTATTGTTATTTGATCAAAGTAAAAAATAAGGCTATCATTGAAATTCAGACGCGTTTTGGCATTTCGCCATCTTCAGTGTTTGGGTGATTTCTGCAGAATGAGGTTGTGGGTTTGTCTAAAACTGGACCAAAAAAATTTAGCAAAGACAGGCAGACTAAGATAATATGTAACTATCAAACAATAGGTTTATCACCCCGCAGACCACAAGAAGAATCTCAAAAAAAAAAAAAAAAGGTTAATTTTTTTAGAAAAACTGCATGATATATATTTTTTTAATGGCTTTATGTACTCTGCATATTGGCCAATGCCAGACAATAATGATATGCGTATTCGTGTTGGGAGGAAGGGTATTTTGAAAAAAAAAGGCCAGAGGAGACAGCGGGAATTGAACCTACGACCACGGGGTCTATGAGCCGAGAGTCTCTCACGCTAACCACTCGGCTACTGCGGCCCCGAGAATATATTTAAAAAGATTTTTTATCAATGTTAATGTGAATTAAGTATTCAGGCTCAAAAATGCGAAATGAGAATAGAATAGAGTATATATTTTTTTAGACTTACTTTGTCATAGGTGTAGATTATTTCCATTAAAGACATCCTATGCTCTAAAAGTTCTTCACTCTGTGGATTTTCTTTGAGAGCTTTGTCTAAAATAGATAATTTCTTTTCTGTTTTCGCCCTCCTGTGACCTATTCCTTGATCCTAAAAAAAAATATTTAAAAAAATTAAAAAAAAAATTAAATATAATTTTTTTTTAAAAGCCTACCTGAAATTTGACATAATTCAACCAATTTTCAACATTGTTCGGATCATTTCTCAATAACTGATTAAACTCGGCTGTTTTTTGGGTGAATTCTTCGATACTCATTACTTCTTCTCTTTCCTCTTCTACAGATTCTTTTTTGTCGAAATATCTGTCATTGAGCTTGTCTTTTTTCTTTTTCCTTTTCTTCTTTTTGACTTGTGTCGCTTGTCTTAATTTTCATTCATTTTATAAAGATCTTGATGTGTGGAAAAAAAATAATGCTCACCTTTGAATGACCGGTCTTGTAAGCTGAATTTGAGGTACTGCAGGAGCAGGAGTCTTGGCCTTTGGCTCTGAATCTTCATAATACAAGCCAACTCGATTATCCGGTTGAGTTCTAAATAACATAAGACCACAATATAGTCAGAATTATATTTAATATTTCAAGTTATGTCACATTTTAAACATATAGGGGTGAAAGAACCGAGTTCATACATATCCATATTGATATTTAGATATTTAAAATTCGTAGTTTGATAGAAACCTATCATTTTGGTTTGCCTATCATCGCAGCAGATTTTCATCAGTCGGAGGCATTTCGGCGTGTAGCCATCTTCAGTGTTTGGGTGATATCTCCTGAAAGAGACTCCTATGAGAAATCATCCAAACGCTGAAGATGGCAAAATGCCAAAATACATCTGATAGGCAAAAATCAGTGAGGATAGGCAGACAATGATGTTAAGAAGCTATCATAGTTTTATCTGCTGGTAGACCAGAAGATAGGACTTAAAATTTGTTTAATTGTTTTCAATTAACAAGTACTACATATGGCAGAAGAGGTTTAAATTAAAAAACATGGTACGTACGTGGGAAAATCACTGGGATGGCAGAAAATCATGTAAACGCTTGATCAAATGACAACTGAATAAATTTTTTATACATTATAAATGTTTTTGATGATTTTAAACCCGGTTAAATATAACTATAAAAGAGAGATAGTCCATAAATGAACATTACACAGGTTCTTACTCATTTGTAGTAGCGCTAAAACGCTATGTATGCTATGTGTTATCTCTCTTACTTTTCATCTTCGTCTCGTTTCCTTTTTCGATCTTCTTTGGCCTGTTTTTCTTGGACAACTTGCACTGCATTTTCTGGAAAACTGGAACAGTTCAACCACCCTTCGGATGTAGACGATTCTCCTAAAAAACAAAACAATTGAATTTATCCTTTTATTGAACCAAACCGACAGTAAATACCTTCATTCTGAGAGCCATTCTGTGATTCATACGCTGGGAAAAGTGGCATTTCATCAAATGTCCAATAATAAAAAAATTGGTATGTTCTGGTTTTTATTGAAATTTAAAAACCTGTAAACAAAAACCTACAAGTTCCCTATTATATATAAGAGTACTGTTCCTTCAAAACAACTCACTAGGAATGATGATGTCATTGAATTGACGTCAACATTGGAGTCTTGAAAGAGAAATGAGTTAATACAATATGTGTCAAAATTTTTTTTTAATGAACGAGTACCACAAAAATTTTAAGAGCTTGATAAGTTAAAAAAATTAAGCTTAAAAACTCTTTATAAAGGACTCTTCATATTCAGTCCGTTAATATCTTAGTTGAACAGATAAACAACATACCAAGGCCTACTCTTTTCTCTATGTTCATAAATAACTTTAAAAATTTGAATTTATGTAAAATAGGAGATATGGTTTTCAAATTGGTAGCTTATGCAGATGATCTTGTGTGACTGGCAACCGACAACTCTGCATTACAAGGAATAACAAACTATTTTCAGAAATATTAGGGGCACGCAACTTAAAAGTTTATTACAGAATTGCAAAAATTAAATTTTCAGGAATTGGGGGAGGCCAAGGCAATCAAGGTTGGGAACTTCTATTTTTTTACAGCAGTACACCTGCCCATGAGGAGTTTTATTTTTTAATTAAAAAAAATTTTTTTTTTCTGTTCTCATAATGATTACAGATTTTCAAAACGTACTAAAATTTTTACAACTTTATTTTATTGTTTAGTTATATTAGGCATGTATTGGTAGCTTTTTACTACAACAAAGACTTAAAAATTTTATTTTTTATTTTATTTATTAAATTATTTTTACAATTACTATTTAATGTTAGTTTCTATCACATTTCCAAATAAATTTAATTTATAAACTGTTCAAGGGTATGCAATGTTCTTTCATCAAAGTGCATAATTCTATAGGCCAGCCGCTTCTTTCTAGAGTGACATGTTGAATATCTCTTTTGGTCGAACATCTGACATTAGAAAATTATGTAGTGCCAAGATTGGGGTGTTCTACAGCTTGGGAAATTAATGTTATTGATGATATGCATTTGCTGAAAATTCTCCCTGTTCTACCCATGGTCCTTAAGTGCCATGTGTGGCATATAAATTCATGCGGTGTTCAATGGCTGGAATAAATGCTTTGGTGTGGATTCCTTTTATCACCTCCCTCCACTCATTTTCCCATGTTGTTATTGACTTCCAATTAGTCCAAAATTTCACATACGTTATTGGTACCCGGGAGTAGGTGACTGACAAGCTTTCATCAGACGCAGCATCTTTTGCCATCATATCCACCATTTTGTTGCCAACTTTCTGTGGTGTGCTTTAACCCAGCACAATCTGACCTGCCATCCCAATTTCGCAGTTTCTTAAGCATTGCACTAATTTCTTCCATTGTCATTCCCGCATTATTATGGTTTACTTGGAGGACATTGAATAATTCCAGTAACAGTGTTAATTATTGGGTGTAAAAATTTTACAACACTTTACTCAACAATGTAATTTCCTTACCTCAAAAAACTTTTCAGAGGAAGATTAAGCACTACCTCACAACTGTAGCCTTTTGAATTTCTTGAGTCAAATTTTAATTTTAGATAAAAATCTTTTGTTAACTAATATGATTAAATTTTTTAAATAAACAAATAACAAATCATAAGAAATTTTAATCGAGTCATAATAATTTGGTGGAATATATAGGATTAAGAAAATCCATCTTGGATTTGTTTCTACATTCTCCCAGCAATAATTTTCTCAATCTCTTAAATACCAGTGCAAAACCAATAAACAGAAGACAGTCACATTTAAGTTTTGCTTGTCTGTAATGCTTCTTTTTTTTCTTATGAGCCACATTTTTCTTGTGATCGATGTGTGCACCAGGAGGTGCTGAAGCCGTTTTGTTGAGTACTACATCGCTTTCTATTTTACCTGTGTTAAATGTCTTCTGTTGCAAATTTTGTTCGTTAACTAGTCTCATAGTCGTACCTTATTCATGGATAAAAATGTACATTAAATACAATTGTAATGTCATTATACTCGAGTCTTATTAACCAACAATAATATTACTTGTTTGGAACATGGAAATTACAGATTGTAAAATGTTTCCAGAACTGTCTGCGTTTTCCCTTGAGCTTTGAAACTGTTGCATACTGTTGCCAAATGTCGGTGTTTGCTTTGTGATGTCAGACGGTGAATTTGAAACAACTGGCGACTCCAAATTTACAATTTTTTCTGACATACTGCCTTTTGATGCAATATTAGAGAGACATTTTTTCAATATCTCATGATTGACCTCATAGTCATCTGTATTTTTTCCTTTCTTTCTCTTGTGAATCTGTAATACATTTTGCAACAATGTCATTATACAGTTACATGTTTTACCATCATATTAATTGTTAATAAATTAATTTTTTTGTGTGCTTATATTGTTCACACTGACAATTTTCGTTTTTACAAATGTGTGGTGGTTAGTGACCGTTAATCGATATTTATTTAGAAATCGTGAGATGCGGTCTGGTGTGATGTAGGTTTCAGAAAAACATTTTCTTTATCGTGCCACGATAAAGAAAATGTTTTTCTGAAACCTACATCACACCAGACTGCATCTCACTGTTTTTACAAATAACATTTCTTTTAAGAAATGGCATGTTCTGCTATGTGATTTGTATTTCTAAAAAATGAATGTTTCAATTTAAATACAATTGAAATATTAATATAGTTATTATATTATTATATGCAATATTGATATTTATGCTATTTACATTGGGGCAATGATCCTGCAGATTGATTATTGAAATCATCAAGATGTCAAAAAAAAAATCTCAGGCAGATGGATGATCTGGTATGATGAGACTAACATTTATTCTTTAAACAAGTACACTTCATAAAGTTATGAATGGTGTTGTGATATCCAAGTCTAACGTTTCCTCTACATAACAAGAGCAAGGAAAGCTACACAGTTTGGAAATGCTACAATGGAGGTAATTTTACAATAACTAAAAGGCAGCGAAGCATAGAAAATTCCCCTGAGATCTTCCAACACACAACTTAAACCACCTTGAAGGATTGAGGAACAGTCCTAAAGAAAAATAAAATGAAAAAAAGGGACCTAATGTATCAAGACAACAGGAAAAAATCGTTTGGACCACTATATTATGGCATATAATATGTTTTTAGTTGTAAGAATAGTGTGGTGAAAAATTAGAGCAGTACGTGTACCCACAACTACTGGGGTACTGATCTGAAGGACAAGGGTTCGAGACCTGCTCGTGACACCAATTTTTCAACTCAATAATAATTAAATTTATATAGTTTTAGAGGCAACATCCACCTACCAATTGAGACTGCTATGAGTATAGAACATCATTTCATCTGTTCTATTATCTATTATGCAAATGCTTTATGTTTATTTAAATAACACATAATTGTATACATGTATTGTATGTACAATATTTATTACCAAATTAATTATGCATGTACCTACTTCTGGACAGACTCCTCTTAACTTTCTATCAACAAAGTTTTGTCTTTGTGTTACAATTTAAATACTGAAATGTAAATATTTTTAAACAAATAGAAGACTTATAAATAAAAAATATCCATGACCTAGGATGCAATTTAATTTTCAAGGACTTAGAACGTTATATAAAATAAACATATGAACACAGGACTTAGAAGGTAGTTTCTAATTTTATATTTTGATTGAAATGAAGTTGTTTTAAATTAAAAAGCCCTTCCATTCAATATTTGCATAAGAAATTTTATAAAACAGGAAAAACTCGGTTTACTAAATAAAAACGTTTTTTGATTTATTTAGAAAAAACCAGGTTTACAGGTTTATATTGCATTATATACTATTAGAAGAAATTTAAACGTCGGGGTGGGTTTTGTAATAATTTACTTTTATAGTATTTATTTCTTGGGGGTTAAATGGTGTTTTATTGAATTAAATTGCATTATGTACCTGCGAGGAAGATATAATGAGGTCCAAGCTATTTTCGAAATCATAAGTGTTTTTTCCTTTAGGGTCATTTTCATTATGGTTTTTATTGTTGTTTAGCTTTCCTATAAAATGAAAAATATATAAATAAAAAATAAAAAACAGACTGGATAATGCATTTCATACTTTTTGTTAATGACTATTACGCACCATTACCGTTGTTTGTCCCTTCTCGTCGGCCTGATTTTGACTCTTGAGACAGAAGATTTGTCATTGCCATAGTTTCCCTGGTAAACCTGATATTTTGATTTGTTGGTTTTTCACTTTTTCTTTCAAAATTACGCGTTTCCTCGTAATTTTCTTGATCGCTGATAAATTGAGTTTCACTGCTATTTTCATCAATAGATTTACTAGTCTTCATTATTTACGTAACGTAAACGCTTTAACGTTTAAGGCCAAAGTCTTAATTTTTTTACCAACTCGTTTATATCAATGATCAACCTGTTTATAGCATTCATTACAGCTGATGACTAGAAGAGCACATATGCATTTTTTAATTAGATCATTTCTCGCTTTACTAGCACGAAAATAGTTTTATGGTTTATTGTCATTGTTATTATTAACACCCATATAGAGCTATAATGTTAAGAAAAACTAACAAAATCCTAGAGTTCAGACGAAATGTTACAAAAAATTTTCAATTAATTAAGGTTTTTAGTTGAGATAAAAAGTCAATGTCACGAGCGGGATTCGACCCCACAATGTTACAAAAATATTATAACAAAACATGTTTTAACCTAGGTCGTCGTTTTTCATGATGTTTCAACGTGAACACCCAAAAAGAACAATTCGTCGTAAAATGAAATATATTTATCATATTGCGAAATTGAAGATTTTTTTCTTGAGGTTCCTGGTGAGCGTGATGGCCCTGGTCCGCCTATCCTCGCTGTTTTGTTTCGTCAGGCGGTTTCGCCTTTTCAACTTTTTAGCGGTGGGTCTGCGCTTTGATTCTGCCAGGCTAGACCATTTTTACATTAATTTTTAACAACTGTTGTGTAAACTTACGACTTAATTTACTCAGACCGTCGTCTGACAGACCTGATGGAGGGAAACTGCTAAGGTATGTATTTAATATCTTATCCGGAGGAAATTCCTACGAATTAATGAGTAAAAATAAAACTACCCTTCATCAGAGAATTTAAGGTATTTCAACGGTGCTCCTCGTGTAATCCCACTGATGGATTTTTGCAGTAAATAATTAGCTCGAGTTGCCCGAGCTGCTACTTTTTAACAAAGCCGACTTCGATGACTTCTAAACAAGTTCATGTTAAAACGAGATTTACAAAATAAAAGCAATACATTTTGAATATATCTAAAATCTCTTGCATTGCTCTGGCCAAAAACTGCCAGAGAGGCTTTCTCATCGAATTAAGTGAAAATAGCGTTTCTTATTATTTAACGTTTTGTGCCAAGATCGAGAGTGTTTTTATTAATTAAAGTTTCTATTCGAATCATAAATTTGTAACACCTAGAGGAAGTGATTAGGTTGACTAGAACCTTTGGGGTTTGAGATAACGCCTCGTAATTATTTCCCAGGCGGTATCAATGTTGATTAGAAATGTGATACGAGGTTTTATTTTGTAAAATTAGAATGTTCGTTAGTGTGACAACCCTTCCTAACGCGGGGTCATAACTCGCTATTAGCGTTTCCAGTCGTGGTATTGTGAAAAGTGAACAGATTGGAGTGATTAAGGTCTGTTTTGAAAGGTGGTTCGAGTCGTCCTGAATGGACTATTGTTCATTGATTTACAACTGGTCACCCATTCAGAAATGATTATAATTTGTGTTAAATTCAGCCGATGATTTATAGTCTATTTATCTCACCGTTCCTATCTAAAAAGTTGCAGCGGTGTACAATAGATGTGATTTTTTGTTTTTTAAATAAATTTTATCCTTTTCGGCATCGAATTGAAAAAGTTCATCAATTTTCGTTCAATAAAACACTGAAATCAACGGCTCTCCGAGGTGATTTTTGTTCGCCGGATTGAAGGATGGGCGGATGTGCTATGCGGTCTTGTGAGATGTCTACTTCATGAATATGCAATCGAGTCGACTCGGGTCACCTTAGGCCGTGTACTCGCCAAGGTAAATAGGCTCTATTTAGGCCTCGATACCACGCTTTTTACCATTCCCAGCCTGTTGTGGTTCTAAAGACATCCAACGACCCATTGTCAGTGCCGGCAATGCGGGGAGACTCTAAGAATTCGTCTGTTTAAGAGGCAGTGATGTAATCAATATCAAGTGCATGAAAAATAATTGAAGTAGTATTTAGAATGTGGTGTTTAGTGACCGTTAGTTAATGATTATTTGGAGAACGTGACATGCGGTTTGGTGTGACACAGGTTTTAGAAAAACGTTTCGATCTTTATTGAGATCATCTTCAGGGCTCAAAGTGTTTGTTTTCTGTGTAGATGTGTCGTTATTGAGTGAGACTCTCAACACGGCACCCAATAATGACACACCTCCACAGAAAACAAACACTTTGAGTGAGTACAAATATTTTGATCGAATCTCAAATTTCTTGCATTGTATAAATTCAAATATCTTTTTACCACATCCTACATGTATTTGTATAATTTTAATATGTTTATAAATCCCAGGCACTGAAGACGATCTCAATAAAGTTCGAAACGATGGCACGGTAAAGAAAATGTTTTTCTAAAACCTACGTCACACCAGACCGCATCTCATGATCTCCAAATAATAAGTAGTATTTAGTATTTAAAAATCGGTATATAAATGGTGCCTTTTTTAACAGGGGGGGGGGAGTATTTTCCTTTTTCTCACTCTATTTTTGGTACCAAGTTTTATGTGGAAATTTTGTTTAAATTCCTGTTCATATCGTCCCTAGTGGACATGAATATCACATATTTACTCATTAGGCTGTTCTTTTCTCCCCATGTAAATTTTAATCCTTTGGGAGGTTCTTCTTCAAGGGAACTTATAAGAAGGGTTGAATTTAAAATTAATTTCAATGTAATGCAGATAATGTCTGGTCATGGGAGAAACTACATCACAGTCATCGCACCGTACAAACTGCTCAAAAATGAACAGGGATATTTGTAAATTAGACTTATTTTGTTAATTTTAATTATATTAACCAACATATTCTTCTTAGTTAACAACTAAAAAAATGTTAATCCACATTTTTAATAACTATTTGGAGATCGTGAGATGTGGTCTGGTGTGACGTAGGTTTTAGAAAAACATTTTCTTTCTCGTGCCAACGTTTCGATCTTTACAATTAATTAAGGTTTTTAGTTGAGATGAAAAAAAGCTAATGGCATGAGAGGGATTCGAACCCACGACCTTCGGCTAGATACGCCGCTGCTCTACCACCTGAGCTATCGTAACCTCGATCCACTCGGACATCAACTCCCCATCTCAACCCCACCTTATGAGTTTTCCTCCTTTTGCCATTTTTCAATAATTAATGAGTTTCGATCTTTATTGAGATCATCTTCAGGGCCTACTAAACACCACACATTTTTAATAACGGCTTTACTTAAGAATAGTAAACATAAAGATGACTTATTTTGTAAACAAACACCTTATCTCGTCTTTTCTATATTTTAATCCCGTTGTATTCTGCATTTATCCATGGAAAGACATCACCTTGAACCAAAAGTTCGCAATATTATTGTGAGAATGAGTTATCGAGGTCACCGGGAAGTTGATATCGCAGAGACAGTTGGCTTTTTCAGAGCGTGGTCTCTCGGGCTTTAGCCCGATTCCGAGAGATTGGTAGTGGATCTCAGGGCATTACGACGGTAAGGGAGGACAGAAATATTGTCATTGCTGCAAAACGGAACCCTTTCCATAGTGCCCGCCATTTCCTAAAGGAAGTACAAGATGTTTTGGCAAAGACTTTATCAACACAAACGATTCGTAATAGTTTTTGGGTAGTTGGCCGCACATTGTATGCCCTTTGAGACGACGAGCAACAGCCCGCCACCAGCAACACGGGGAGAATAAATTGCAGCGAGAGCCTAGAAGTGAACACCAATTGTTATGCTGTTATGTTTACTGATGAGTCACGTTTTTATAGTGATTGCAGATGCCGAAGAGTCTACCGAGAACAGGGGGTGCGTTCTGTGCCCCAGTTCATGGTCCCTTCAGTGCACTTTGGAGGAGGCGGTGTAATGGTCTGGGCTGGGATTTATACTGGAGGACGAACTGGGGTTGAAGGCAACCTCACCGCAGTCCATTATATCCAAGAAAGTATCGAGTATAGACCTCAAACCAGGGATTTTCAATTTCTGGATGACAATGCCAGACCTAATAGAGGCAGAATTGTTCATCAGTGTTTAGAAAACCTGGGAATTTCACATCTGCCCCTTCACCCATTGTCTCCAGACCTCAATTCCATTGAGTACATGTGGGATGTGTTGCAGAGAAGGCTTTTCGATCACCATCCGCAGTCAGTTGACCTGCAACAACTGAGTGCAGCATTGCAACATCTATGAATTCCTTATGAAATAAGTGACAACCTTATTAATAGTATGCCTAACAGGTGCACCGAGGTTTTATTGGGTTGTCCGGAAAATAATGCAGGATTTTAAGTTTTCATTAAAAAAAATCTATATAAAATATTCTGTTTACGTTTACAGGATTACTCATTCTTATTAATCCTCTTCCAAATGATATTGTTTGTTTACCTCTGTAGCATTCCGCTACTTGGAAATAATTCAGTCATCCTTATAATGTCAAAGCGAGAATTTCGTACGATTTTCTTTTACGAGTTTAAACTCGGCCGAAGCGGAGCCCAAACGGCTAGAAACATTAACCAAGTCTGGGGCGAGGGTTGTGTTAATGAGTGCACTGTGCAAAGGTGGTTTAAAAAATTTCGGGAGGGAGATTTCAGCCTTGAAGATGAAGAAGGTCGTGGAAGGCCTTCCTCTCTTAATGATGATGTTCTGCGATCAGTGGTGGAAGAAAACCCCAAAACAACTGTTCGAGAACTTGCAGAGCAACTCAAAGTCAGTAAAACGACCGTCGCTGACCACCTCAAGGCGATTGGAAAAGTGAAAAAACTCGAAAATTGGGTTCCACACTCATTAAACGATCGCCAAAAAAATCAGCGCTTTGATGTTTGTGCATCACTTCTTTGTCGAAACAAAAATGACCCATTTCTGGCCAGAATTGTTACATGTGACGAAAAGTGGATTCTCTACGATAACACTAGACGTTCTGGACAGTGGCTCGACAAAGGAGAAGCTCAATACATTTTCCAAAGCCCCCAACTCATCAAAAAAAGGTAATGGTTACGGTATGGTGGGCTTCATTTGGTTTAATACACTACAGCTTCTTAAATCCTGGCGAAACCATCAATGCTGAATCATACTGTAACCAAATTAATACCATGCATCAGAAATTGGCAGTAATGAAGCCCTCTTTGGTCAATCGGAAAGGGCCCATTTTGTTGCATGACAACGCTCGACCACATGTGTCACGTGTAACGTCACAAAAATTATTGGAGCTTG